AGCTTTCACAAAGTAATCATTGTACATCTACAACTTATTACGTTTTGGATTTTGATTCAACATGACCTGGTGATATCACCGTGATATTTTACAGCTCAGCCCTTATTTACCCTTTTTTTCAATATAAAATGACAGGAAATGTTTTATTCAGACATTGAAGCAGCATCTCAAGAAATCAGCCTGGACATTAAAGCTAGGGCACAAATAGATATTTTAATGGACAATGACCCTAAGCAAACTGCCAAATTAGTTTTGAATTGGCTTAAGGACAAGAAAGTCAGTGTTTTGGACTAGCCACCCCACAGCCTGGATCTCAATCTCATCTATCCAACTATTCACTGTCCTTCAATTGTTCCAGAGTTAGGTCTCTGGGGGCAGCAGCTTAAGCAGAGCAGTCAAAACCTCTCTTTCCACAGCCACTTCTCTTCCAACTCTATTTGGAGGATTCCAAGGTGAGCTAAGAGACATAAGGATTGGGATTTAGATGTATTCTGGCCACTTTGGAGTGACGTCTGAAGGAAGGTCAAAGTCAGCCCATCCTTTATCCAGTTAACCTGCGGGCCTAAAATACCATAAAAAACCTTAAAAAGTATACACAAATTAAACGAAGTACTGCTTTGGAACCCTTTAGAGTAAATTCACAAGCTTGGTCTCTTTTTAAAGCTAATAATATGAATTTTTAACTTCAGCAGCCATATTCACAGAACATGAAAGGAATGAGATATYAAGAAACWATTTTTACTGGGCTAAAATATKAATTCCCAACTATTACCAGTTCAAACTTGGTAACAGTAGCAACAAATATGAATATTTGAGACATAGTACAATCCAGAATGTCCCATTTACATATTTGTCCACATGTACAAATATGTCCAAACTGTACACTTTTTTCTAAACACTGTAATTTCTAAATGCTTCAACTCAGAGACTTCATTCTGGGCTCAAATTAAAGATAAAAACCCCACAAAACACATTCCACCATCCATATTTACCCACAGCATGATTAGATTACCAAAAAATATAAATATTTATACCAACTGGAGTACATCCAGCAAATCTCCACCAACAAACAGCCAAAACAAAATACAACCACAAACAAATATATACTTGTGTTATTATCCAAACATTTTTACTTTTCCTAGCCACAAAAATCATTCTTCCATATCTTGAAGCACTCAGAACACTTCATAACAAATATATTTCCACTTTACCAGCATGTTTAGTCAGCTAACTGTCCAAAAAAAGGATGTAAAAACAACGTTTTCTGTGAGTGTTGCTTTGTCCACTAGATGCAGGCATCCGCATACAAATGACAACAGTCTCAAACAATGGCTTGTGATTGGCTACACAATGTTCCCACCCCCTCAAACTATGTACCAAATGAAAGGTAAGGTGATTGGCTGCACAGCTGTGGCATCAGAATGAAGCTTGGAGCTGAATGGCCAAATCAATGGTCAATCTAGCCCACAGTGACAAAACAGGAAGTTGGGTTACTTCTCACATATCGGCTGTGTCCAAAACGACAGGCCGGGTCCTCCGGAGGACCCAGACTCCCCCGTCGCAGCGGGCCGGGTCCTTGGTAGACCGGGAAGACCGGAAAAAAAGAGGCTGTG